CCCAGCTGGCTGCATGTGGAGGAGTGGGGAATCAACCCCAATTCTCCCAGTAGAGTCCGCACTCCTAACCACTGCACCAAACTGGCTCTCCAAGCCAAGTCAGTGGGGCTTGGGACATGTGTTCCTGCACCTGAGCTATTCGACTAAGGCGGCCAAGCCCCCAGTGAAGGTGGGGGATGCCCCACCCACAGATCCTGTTGCTCACTGCTGCTGGAAGCGGTAGCAGGAGGAATTTTAAAAAATAAATAAATAAGGCCTTGTCTACTTACAGAAGCTTTTTACCATAGAGTTCTTGGTACATGCAGCCAGCTGGGTGACCTTGGGTCAGTCACAGTTCTCTCAGAGCTCTCTCAGCCCCACCTACCTCACAGGGTGCCTGTTGTGGAGAGAGGAAGGGAAGGAGATTGTAAGTCGCTCTGAGACTTCTTCAGGTAGTGAAGAGAGGGGTATAAAACCTCCTCCTCCTCAAGCTACCCAGAAGTAACAAAGAGTAGTTGTAGGAATTGCCAGAAACTCTGTGGTAAGAACTTCCTGTAAGTCGACAAGGCTTTATTTTTATTTTTCTCCTGGAACACTGCCCCCTCCCTCAACCCTCCAGCCAGTTTCCAGGCACTGCCTTCAACCCTATCTTCTACTCTGGTTTTCTGACGTGAAGAACCAGGTTGCAAAGCCCTTGCCGCCGCCGTTGCTACCACCTTCACTTGCCAGTGGTCCAGATTCCTTTCGTGTTTCTGTGCCTTTCAGTCATTCACTTCCCTTTTGCGGACACAGATCTCTCTCTGCCACTCCAGTCCGTCAGGCGCGTTATTTATAGACTCATCAAAGAACAATTAACAAAGAATTCCCACTCAGCGTCTACAGATCCGGCGTAACCAATTTTTCACACCACAGCTGCTTTGAAAAGACTTAGCTAATGTTTGGGGGCTTTTTAATCTCTACGCCAGAGAGAAAACGACGTAACTGAAAGCATCCTCAGCACAGAGCTGCCCGTACCAAAGCAGTGGTCAAAAGCTAGATCTTTTCATCTTTACAATTTAAATTCAAAAGGGCTGTCAGAAGCTACACCATGGGTAGGGTGGTGGCCTTTGTCGCCTTCCCTCTTAAAATCGTTTCTGTTTGCCGTGTTTTTGGATCCAGCTTCATTTTGTCCTGAGCCATTCTAAAGGACTGGTACCATTATAAGGATAGTTAATTGCATTGCTTCTTTGGGTCGGTGACATAGATGGAGGTTTTGATGAGTCTTTGAACTATCGCTTGCCCAGATTATTAATCAGACAAACTTAATCTCAAATCATTTCCCATTGAAACGTCTGGCAGAGGCCCACATTTAGACTTTAACTAAGGATTGAATCATCATATATCTAATTCCAAACCACACATATAGAGGATGTTATCAACAGATTGACAAAACGGAGCTAGGAATAGATAAGGGAAATTTCGCTGCAAACCTGAAGTCCCCGGGTTAAGGAGAAATCTAAATATATATGTACCTACTGGGGTGCCTATTGGGGTGATTGGAGCTGCGGTGGCTCAAGTGGTTAAGACGCTGAACTGCAGGCTGTAGAAGGTCAGTAGTTCAGCAGTTCAAGACCCGGGTGCCGCAAGACGGGGTGAGCTCCCGTCTCTAGTTCCAGCTCCTGCCAACCTAGCAGTTCGAAAGCAAGAAATTGCAAGTAGATAAATAGGTACCACTTTGGTGGGAAGGTAACAGCGTTCCGTGCGCCTTGGTGTTTAGTCATGCCGGCCACATGACCACGGAAACGTCTTCGGACAGCGCTGGCTCTTTGGCTTTGAAACGGAGATGAGCACCGCAACCCTAGAGTCGGATTCGACTGGCTTTCGAGCAAGGGAACCTTTACCTTTACTTTATTGGGGTGATTAAAACTACAAAAAAAACAATAGAGACACCTGTATCTTTAACAAAAAGAATGCCCACTGAACTCTCCATGGCAATTTTGAAGGCTGCTATGCAAACATTGTAATATTGTTGAGCTTTCCAAGCCTTGGTTTCTGTTAGGGTTGCCAAGTCCTACCTTCATCTGGAGTGGGGGACTCCTGGGTTGCTCCCGGAGTGCGCGAAGCACAAAGCGTGCGCGCGCCGCATCCACGTCACCCGGAAGTGACGGGACCATGCCAGTCACGCTGGGGACGGGGCCACGACCATCTGAGGGAAACCATAGAGTTTTCCCTCAGATGACCGTGGCCCCTCCCCTAGCGTGCCCAGTGTGGTCACGTCACTTCCGGGTGAGGTGCACGTCGCGTTCTTTGGGGGTGGGGTTTTCCCCGGGGCCAGATCCACCGCCAGCGGGGAACAAGCCTCTGGGGCGAGGGTTTCCCCGCCCCCCGGGGGGACTTGGGTAGTGGCTGGAGATTTCCCACAACCCATGGGGTGGTGGTGGTATGTGTGAACCTGGAAGCAAAAAATAATAGGCTTGGAAAGCCCCCTCCCCTGTCCCCTGATAGAACAGGGCTAGAACTGCCAACTCTGGGTTGGGAAATTCCTGGAGATTTGGGGGTGGAGCCTGGCCTAGTGATCACTATGCTACTTAATCCTGGTCAGCACCAGCAGCCACCATGCAACTTCCCCAGGGAGAGGTTGCCAGAGAGAGGGAAGGGGGGAAAGCTGAAGACAGGAGGGCAGATTAAGGTGGGTTAGCTGGTGAGTGGGAAGGAGAGAAGGAAGCAGGAAAAAAGGAGAGGCTGTGAGGGTTGCCAGAGAAGGGAAAGAAAAAAAGAAAGAGGTAATAGTAGGGTTGGGGAAACGGGAAAATGAGATCACCACCACAAGTCCTTGCAGATCTGTGATTTATGTAATCCTGCTATCCCTTAATTTCTTGAGGTTGTATTTCATAAAAGCACTGGATAGGTAGCCACTAGGGTTGCCAACCTCCAGGTGGTGGCTGGAGATTTCCCACTATTACAACTGATCCCCAGATGCCAGTGATCAGTTCTCCTGGAGAAAATGGCCACTTTGGAAGGTGGACTCTATGGAATTATAGAGTTCTTCCCTGCCCCAAACCCCACCTTCCTCTGGCTCCACCCCCAAATCTCCAAGTATTTCCCAACCTGGAGCTGGCAACCCTAACCACTGTTCATCAAACCCTCAAGGCTGTTAGGAGACTGTAACTGAGGCCATGGAGGGCCTTGACTCAACAAGCCAGGGTCCAGAATCCATGAATTCCCACAATTCCATGATGCACATGGGCACAGTTTGGATCAGGATCATGGTATATGAGGAGAAAGAGCTTTTGCCTCCCCTCCATGCTGTTTTCCCAATCTCAAGAGGTCCTGGAAGAATGCTATGTGAAATTAGGGAAACTGATGTATACTCCATCAGTACACATGGAGTTCCCAACAGGGTAAATATCCCTGGGACCATTTCAGGTTCAGACAACAGTGTGCGGAGGCAGCATAAGCCATCGCTTATGCATGTTGGTCCCCATCCAGATCAGCCACCGCCTTCCTTGGAATTGAGTTCACAGTGGAGAATTCCCAAAGCAGATCATGTGGACCTGGAGAGATCTGGGGTATATGTAGCTACTCCCTCTGAGATTCCATTGGAACCACTGACATTAGAGCGTCATCATAGAGGCACTTTAAAAAGGAGAATTGTCAGATGAGTTTGGGATAATTTATTTGCTGGAATAACATGCCCTGAGATCCTTCTGTCTGGAGATGCTGAGGATCGAACCTGGCACCTTCTAGATGCAGAGCATGTACTCAGACACTGAGCTGTGGGCCCTCCCCATTCTGGGAATCTATCTCTCCAGTCACACACTCCTTTATCTATGCTCCTATGGTGACACCATCCACTTCCCTCCCTCAAAGGCAAGTTTTTCCCTCCATTTTTCTTTCCCTTTCTGACTGAGCAGCCCTAGTAACCTGTTTTCTTCTTTCATGAAGAACTTTGGTTGTCCCAACCTGTATCAGTATATTTTACTGCTGGCTCAGCCCAGGAACCTGAGGGAAGGGTCAGGATTGCCCTTTAACTGAAACCACTGTAAATGGTACCTGAGACATTTTGAAGTTCGAAATCAACAAAATATTGTATTCAAGATAGAGGGGAAAGGTCAGGTGAAATCAGAGGTTGAAAATTCTTAGGTAACTCAATATAGATAACTCTTGAGGTAAAACTAGTACATACACAGACTTTAGTTCTTACATTTCAGGCTACTGAGAGTTTCTTAAGCTATCCACAGTTACTTAAATCTTTATGTTGAGAGGCTTTTGTTCCAGTGTTTTCCCCAAGCACTCCAGTACACTTTCTTTGAGTATTCTGTGACACTTTTGGTTTCCAAAGGCTGGTATACTCTTTCCAGTACCCAACCCCCTTCTCTTGAAACACTAGTACTCATCTTGAGTTTTTAACTGACTCTTAAGGTCTCTGAAGGCAGTTTCTAACCACACCAGACCAGGGATTTCTACACTCTTCAGAGCTAACTTCCTGCTTGACTGGGTAGGGAGTTGTCTTCTCTCTAGATCTATCCCCTTTCTTTGGCCTGAATGGGAGTCTTCGCCTACTTCCCAAACTTTCTTGCCAACTTTCCCCCAGTTCTCCTGTCTATGTTAAACTGCTCTCAGTCACACTGAAATCCAAAACTGTCAGTTCTTAGCTAGGGCTGAAATCAGACTGTCAGTACTCAACTAAGTCAAAGCAGAAATCTGACTCTTAGCATCCAGTTCAGAACTCTTTCTTTGCTCAACTGATGCTAACCAATCAGATTTCTTGGAGCAGCCTGTCACTCAAGGCTCTCTAGCTTTGTGAAGAATTAACCGTTCACAGTCCTTTATCTGTTTACACAGCACTTCTAAGCTTTTAAAAGTACTGTCCGTCACAGCTTCTAACATGGGTGTTCCCCAAAACGAGAACTCAGGTCATTTGTGCGCTTGGTGCATCCCCAGCTTAATTTAGAAGGAATACGGAGTTAGAAGCTTGAGTATGTTTTTGCTGCTTAACTTAACATCTCTGTGGGTTTCCTCCCTCCCTTCTCTCATTGCAGACTGATGAGTACTGAAAATGCTCTTTTACAAGCCAGAGAAGAGGAAGGCATAAAGTATGACCGCACTTTTGTGGCATCTCAGCTTATTGATTGGTTGATCCAGGAGGGAGAGACCACCACAAGGTCTGAAGCTGAACAACTTGGCCGCCGGCTGCTGGAACATGGAATTCTACAGCACGGTGAGGACTTAGTTCTGCTCTCATAAGGAGGCTGCACATTTTAATATAGATCCCTTCACTGTTCCAAATTCGAAATGGAAAAAGAGGGTATGGGTGCTGGTGCTAGGAGGCAACATCAGGGGAAGGCCTTGGCCTCTTTGCCCTGATTGTTTGCCTTCCGGGTCAGCTGGTTGGCCACTGTTTGAGACAGTGTTAGGGTTGCCAAGTCTACTTACCTTGGCAGCGGGGGAGCCTCGCCGGGCTCCAGGAGCTCTCTGGCGATGCGTGCGCTTTGTGCGCGTGCGCCACCAGCATGTCACAGGAAGTGACGCGCTACGTTGCTCACGTTGAGGGCGTGGCCACAATTGTCGGAGGGAAAACCATAGAGTTTTCCCTCCGATGATCGGGGCCACGCCCCCAACGTGAGTGATGTGGTTGCGTCACCTCTGGTGACGCAGCCACGCTGCGCTTCGGGGGGCAGAGTTCCCCCCGTGGCCCGATTCCACGGTGGCGGAAATCGGGCCTCTAAAGCGGGGATTTGCCCGCCACCCGCCCCCACTTGGCAGCCCTAGACAGTGTGCTGGAGTAGATGGTGGCTCTCGGGCTTTCTTTTAATGTTGGGGTTCTCATTTATCTTTGCACCAAATGGGGAAAAGATACAATTCCACAAAACATATGGACATATCCTAATACTGTATTTGTTCTAATTAACTACCATTTGTAGTTTTTTTCAATTAGAAGACAGTTCTGGGTAAAAAAATGGGTAAGGTTGCTAGTTGGTATTCTAGTTGAGATTGTGGTATTCTTGACACCTTTGGGCAGGAGAAAAATTCTCAGCTCCCCAGTGTGCTTCAGAGCACAGCAGAAAAAAATGTCCCATGCCTCTGTGGAACAAGAAGCCTTTGTGGTCTCCAGGAGTACAACAGCAGAGGTTACTTTCCATGCCTCTCAGAATCCATCCATCACAACATTAATTTCGACTCTCCTAGCAATTGCCAGAATAATAATTGCACAGAAATGGAAGGATAAGAGTACCCCTACCTTATCCAGCTGGCAAAACAAGTTATGGGAACATTTTATTTATGGGAAAATAACGTTTCCTCAAACACACTGGAACGCTAAAGTATTTCAAGCGGTATGGTTCCCAGTGGTTCAATACCTTGCAGAGGGAGATGTAATTCCTAAAAACAAACATGACCAAGAATTGTTGTATTTCTAAGAGTTAGAAACAGGTTACTTTAGAGTTACTGGTAATTTAAGTTTATGCCACAGGTATGCTATTGCCAATCTTGTCTTGTTGTTTTCATGTGAGGCTTATTGTTGTAGCAGGTTATATTTTATGGTTCTGATAAAATTAATTAACAAAAAAAAAGAATCTATCCATCTGCAGCCCAAACCTCTTCACCCAGTACCTCATTGCAATATAAGCAGATGTTCTTGGACGCGAGCTGCAACTAGATCGCTTTTCTGTGCCTTCTTATTTGTGGAGCCCTAGCTGTTAGCCAGAGGGTCACGGACAGCTGAGCAGGTCAAGTGGATTAGTTCCTAGAAGACTTCTAACTGTTACCTGATGGTGTGAAGAGATAAGCTATAAGGAACAATGCCTGATCTTGCCACTGTTTGTTGCAAAATCAGCCTTTGTCAAGGCTTTGTCCAGACCTTGGCTGTGCAGATTAGTTCAAGGACCCATTTTCCAGAGTATTCAGATTGGGTGGATGCTTAAGGCACATCTGCATAGCAATGCACAGACTCACTGAAAGAACCAAGAAGTTCTTGGCCAGTAGAATAGCAGAGGGGTGAATGGTCAGTGCTATCAGGAGACTGATAACTTATGCAGGGGATCTGGGCTGGTAATATTAGTGTTTCTCTGCATGCCTACCAGAGGTTCAGAAGTTTATTGAAAGCACTTTCAACCCCCCTTTGAAAAGTAATGTGCAGATGTGCTTGTAGCACCCCTCTAGCTATCACGGAGATGAAGGGTGGCACCAGCACATCTCAGCCACATGTAGAGTTGCCAACCTCCAGGTGGGGCCTGGAGAGCTCCTAAAATTAGAACTGATCTCTAAGGTACCAAGGTAAGTCCCCCTGGAGAAAATGGCTGCTTTGGAAGGTGGAGTCCATGACATTATACTCCATTGAGGTCCCTCCCCTCCCTCCCCAGGCTCCACCCCCAAAATCTCCAGCTGTTTCCCAACCCAGTGTTGGCAACCCAAGGCCAAAGACAGCAACTGTGCTGTCCATAAGTTCCAGTGCCGAATCACAAGACTGCATTTTGCTTCCACACCAAGAAGTGTGGAAAGAGGAGGTAACTTTGCTTTGTCAGATGGCAGCTGTCGTTTGGGTAACAAATGTCCCAGGCCACTCAAGCAAGATTTCTCCTGGAGATGCAGTAATGGAAACACACTGGATTAGTGCCCATTACAGATGTGTGCCAGTCCCTTGTGTTGGTTTATTGTTTGTGATGGAGTGTTCTTATTGACTTCCCAAAGGGGGGCTTAGGATGAATAAGGTTGGTGTAAAGCCTGTTGGCGAACCACAGACGAAGCACTTAATTTGTAATATTTTGCCAGTAGGAGATCTGGTTTGAAGGGAGATTTAGTTTGTCCTATGGATTTCATTGCCGGTTTGCTAGAGTTAGAAAGTATATTGGTTACACTCAGTTGAGAGAGAACGATTATGGGTTTTTTTCCTTAGTGAAGGAATATAACATCTGGTTTAATTACAATATCTGTAGGCTTAGTAAGGCTAATAAAGGTAAAGGTTCCCTTGCTCGAAAGCCAGTCGAATCCGACTCTAGGGTTGCGGTGCTCATCTCCGTTTCAAAGCCGAAGAGCCAGCGCTGTCCGAAGACGTTTCCGTGGTCATGTGGCCGGCATGACTAAACGCCAAGGCGCACGGAACGCTGTTACCTTCCCACCAAAGTGGTACCTATTTATCAACTTGCAATTTCTTGCTTTCGAACTGCTAGGTTGGCAGGAGCTGGAACTAGAGATGGGAGCTCACTCCAATACAGCTAGAAAATTAGAACATGCATCCCCCCCCCCACATACATGTACCATTTTGAAATTGTCAGCAGCTTAATTTGAAACAACAGTTGTCTGGTATTCATTGTGTTGCCTCTTTACTGTGGTCTTCATGGAAGTCCACTTTATTTGCAAGTAAATACCGTGTATCCTGTTGGCGAGTTCACTCTGCTCTCCAGGGGCCAAGCGGTTTCCTGTGTCTTGTGTGTCAGCACTGTCAATATAGATTCAATTAACACTAATTGGCATTGCTGCCCAGGCTTGGCAAGGACTGAATGAAGTCTTTGGCTGGTGACCGAGTAGGGAATAAAATACCTTTTGTGCCTCATAGGCCATCTTTATAAACTGCCATCACCTTTTATAACGGAACTTGGCCACTGTTGTTGTTGAATAAGCACGGACGATGATGATAAAGTAAAGCTTCCTTGTGCACTTAATTTTATTACAGAACCAGAAGGGACTTGAATGCCCTCTCTAGAAGAAGAAGAGTAGGCTACAAAAACAGGAGGGAAAAGGCCAGGCCAGAATCCTTTTCTCAAACATGCTGGTTTTCCTCAGGCACAGAGTTCTGGTTCATGAAGAGAGTCCCCCCACCCCAGCCCCACATAATGTGTTATATGAATGTTGATCTATATGGAACCATAGTGATAGAAGCTAAAATTTGACTCTAAAGTGTGTATGTGTTTTAAGAAGAACTTTAGCAGAATACAGACAGTTCCTAGGGATGCCAGCCCCCAGGTGGGAATAAATCCAAGATACAAGAGTCTGTGTGAATAACTAATAACCCATAAATGACTAGATTTCCCCCGTATGTTCCCCCAAGAGCACTGAGTCTGAGCTGCAGAACCGTTTAGTCCCCCCTGGCCCTAGGGACGCTAAGTTAACAGCAACAAGAACCAGGGCGTTTTCCCTAGCTGCGCCAGTAAGGTGGAACCAGCTCCTACACGAAATTTGCGCTCTGCGGGACCTCCACCAATTCCGCAGAGCGGTAAAGACTGAGTTGTTCCGTCAAGCGTTTAATAGCCCAGATCAATCATTCTAGCACTTTATATGGATGGCCGCCATGTGTTGCTCTAATTGTAATTTTATTGTTAATAATTGCATTGGTTGTTATGGATTGTTTTAGTTGTACTATATTAATTTTACTGGTTTTTAATTGTTGTAAGCCGCCCTGAGCCGCTTCAGCGGGAGGCTTACAACAATTCAAAATCACAGCTCATCTCCAGACTACAGAGATCAATCCCCCTGGAGAAAATGGATGCTTTGGAGGGTGGACTCTGTGGCATTGTTCCCCACTGAGGTTCCGGTCCTCAGGCTCCATCCCCAAATCTCCAGGAGATCTCCTGGATCTGGCAACGCTTACTTCCCACCATGCCCTACTGGTGGCCAGGGGCGACCCTGCGACCCTGAATCAGCTCCATAGGCCCATCTCAACTACAGTACCAACTTTCCCCTCTAGCTTCAGACTCTTGCGCTGTCTCAGATACCATTAAGGTGAAGGGTGCTCTCAAAAACCTCAGTCTATATGGACCTTCTGCTACACAACAAATAGACTCCTCCACAGAGATCCGTGACATGGCTGCCACAGGCCTGGATGAGTTATTCAGTTTAATACCAAACTGAGGGTCCTGGACAATGTTCCCTCTAAGCTGTCGAGTCTTTTGAGCAAAAATTCTACTTTGTGAGCTACTGGCATTAAAGTTGTGAGCCAGCGATTTGGATACTGCATAAATTAGTTTGCTCTGGAGCCATCCTTCCAGAGCGAAGACAAAAATGTGTGAGCCAGGGGCTAAAAAACTATGAGCTGGCTCACACTAACTCAGCTTAGAGGGAACACTGGTCCTGGATATAGGCAGAGGTTACCCAAGGGCACTCTTGGCTGGGAGTAGCTCACCTTCCTGAAAGCTCCACTGAGACACTAATCAATGCCCCATTCAGATTCCAGAGTTGCCCCACGCCCTTTTTGACCATAAGAAAAGACCCAGGTGTACAGGACAA